GACAAGGGACCCCTTACGAGGTAAGAAAGGTGTTGTCCTCTCCCTTCTCATCTTGCTCTGGAACACGTCTGAGACTGTCAGAGTAAACCCTTGTCATGATAAACTCTTGTCACTGCTACTGCCAGAGGAATAACTGTGCACAGAGTACAATTTTAGTGTTGCTTAAAGCTTACAGGAGCCGATGGGACTTGCTGATGGATATCTGTGTATAACCTCATCGGTCTGACCCTAAGGAAGTTATGACCCATAAAAATGTCATCTGTGTCTGTGGGTGTGGCTGGGACAGGGCTGTGTCTGCCATGTGCAGGACTGTGGCCTTTTCACAAGGGATACAAATGAGGCAACTTTCAGGAAGCATTCATCTGATGCTAAATGCTCATATTTGTAACAAATGGTACATCTGGGGGTGATTTTATCACCCAGACGTAGGAGATTTCAACAGCTCATTCATTTTTCCCACATTTGACAGTCAAGCTCCACTGACTTACCAAAATACTTTTCTCTGAGCATTGCTGCTAACTTTGGCAGTAACAACAAAAATTACTCAGTCAACATTTTCTTGTTCATCTGATGACAAATTGGGAGGAAAGATGCTGCCAGGCTTGTTGTTTTAGTGATGGTGCCCTAGCTGCCCACTCCACCCCCCACAACATTATGGTCAGATGCTATAGAGGGGTGATAGTTGATCCTGCTGCTTGACAGGAGTAGAAAGTAGAGGGCTGCAAAGCCTAATCTGTGTATGTGCACTGCCCAGGCAGGCCAGCTACTTACGGCTGCTTACTTTTTCTCTTAACAGCCTCAGAAGATGAAGAAATTATAGTCCAGTTCTGGAATGATAAGAAAGTGAAACTCCCACGTAATGTGGCTCTGTGGATCCCTCCTGGCCTGTGGGAGAGGACTGTAGAGATGATCCACATGCCCTTCACCAGCAGGGTGAAGCCCAGAGAAAGCCCGGATGCTAACTCTTGTGTTTTTCCCTGCAGTCCTAAACCAGCCCTGATTCCTGTTTGTGCTGGACACAGCCTTGCCAAGCTCTGCTTGCTCTGCTCATCCCACTGGCCACGTTTCCACTGCCACTGTGGTGGTGGTATGTGCTGTTTGTCAGTGTGTGTAAGGTGCACCTGCTGCTGTCACCCCCGTGCTGGTGCCTGGTGGCCTCTTCCATCCAGGTCTCTGGTCTTTCAGAACAAGTCTGAAGAGGCAGAGTCCAGCAGTGAGCCCTCTCCATGCCTTCTGGAACTGGAAGGCAGAAACCAAGAAGCAGCTGCAGCTGTGGCTACATCTTCCTCCTCCTCTGATTCAGGGTGGGACCTGAAGCCATTCCCCACTAGGAGTACTGTGGTGGACAGTGCTGTTAACACAGGCTGTAGCTGTCTTGAAAAGCCCAAGCTAAAGGATTCTGCAAGACCTCAGTGGAAATACTGGAAAAGAAGCCACCACAAGTCACAATCCAGTAATCCAGGTACCTTTTAACACCCCTACAGGGAAGCAGCAGTAAGAGGGAACAAAACCAAATGTGTGCTGGGCAGGGCACTCACTTTGCCTGTAGGTTATTGGTATTAGTACTGTAAATTTGCATGTCAGTCTCTGATAAAATACTTCCCCCTCCCTCTGCTGCCTCATCTGGCATTTAGCACCTCATCTCATGGAAAAATAGCGCAACAATTAATTTCATTAACCTGCATAGCTAGTTCGTGCTGAATAACCTGGAAAAATTCCTTTCAGGCTTAAATTGCATTTTCTCTCTTCTGAAACAAATGATTCTCCATTTCAGTTCTGGTTTTACTCTTACATACAATTTTACTCCTTCCCAGGACTTGGCAGTTGCAGCAGCACATGTACAAAGGGCAAGCTGGAATCCAAAGCCATCTCCACTGGGGACACATCCCGTGTGGCCCCAGCTAATCGGAGTGCAAAGTTTGAAACCATTGAGCTGTCTCCCAGAGGGCAACTCACAGTGAAAGAAATCTTAAGAGACCAAGATTTCAAGCCATCATTGGGGGTAAGGTAATCTCTATTAATAGTATAGTTATGTAAGCATGAGGCTTGTTTGAATGGAAAAGATATTCTTATTAATGGTCTGGGAGCTGGCAAGAAAACTACATGGTTTCTAACTTACCTACTTGCTAAGGCCATCCACCTGTTTTCTGATAGATAGGAAACTTCTTCACTAACAGGAAACAAAAATCCCCAAACCCTAAGGAAGGGTATTTTTACCAATCTATTGGTAAAATAGAACTGATTATGCCAGTAACCGTGTGAGCATTCAGTAATGCTGAGTTCAGTTCAGAAACCTGCCAAATGCTCGTTGACAGCAACTCCGTGAAGTCCTGTGGAAGTAGAGACCTACATTAAGTGGCCTTAGAAATGGACAGATGTGACTGTCAGCAGCAATAAAACACAAGGAAAGACTCAATCTGGAAAGGTGCTGAGCTCTGCCAGCCAAATTTTGGTTGTCACAATCTCTGTCTCTGAAAGATAACAGCGGATTCTTTAGTAAACAGTTTTTGCTGAGTTTCTTCTCTTACTCCCTTGCAAGAAGCAAGCAGTTTAAACAGCAGATCCCTACCCTAAAGGTGGGGCTACAGAGTAAGCAAACTGTGCCACAGCTAGAAACAAGGACAACACCCTGGTTTTTAGGCCTGGTTTCTGTTGGCCATGATGCCCTACTGCTTTAGAAAAACTTGGAAAAAAAATTCAGAACATGAACGCTAAAAAAAGCAAGCACAGAAAAGAGGAAGAAAAAAATCTTAGAGGAAGAAGTGGAAGATGAAAGAGAATGTCAGCACAAGAAGAAAAAGTCTTGCAGGAAGAAGTGGAAGATGAAAGACAATGTCAGCACGAGAGCATCAGGGTTACAATTAATAAATTATATATTAGAAATCAAATATTAGCTCCTCTGTACCTTCATGCTCTTGCTACTGTGAGATGACTGCAAAAATAACTTTGAACATTCTAACCGTGCACATTTAGGAGAAGATGAATCTGTTAATGACATGTCTTACTGAACAGAGAATATACTGAAGTCGTCTTATATTCTCACAATTATATGCATTCATTTTAAGCAGATGCTTACCAACTTATTAACTGTATGGGTCCTACTTTCTATTCTACTTTAGTATTTAAATAGTCATAATTACACAGCCTTTTAATTCATTTACAAGCTAGTGTGGAGCTTCAGGCAGACATGCTGTATGTTAGCAAGCTGTGCACTGAAGTGACATGATTTGCCTTTTGGCAAAACTAATAAGAAACCAGAATTGTTAAATTCTAGCCCCAAACCGGCAGCATGAACCACAGCAGTGGGCACAGTGTGGTAATACAGGGTATAATGACATACTTTTATTCCTGTGAAATAGCCCTTGGTGATTTTGAACCCAGAAGATACATTGCTGCTCTTTGAGATAGCTGAGGCAGTTCTATCATGTGATACAGGCAGCATCAGAAGTGAATTGCAACAAACAAGTTAAGCTAGACTGTAGGCTTCCCAGAGGTGCTCTCTGGGGGGCTGATGTCCTCTCTCTGCAGTCAACAAAAATCCTCCTAAAGTAGCAAAGTTTTTAATCAAAGCCCAACAGCTTCTGAAAATCCTTTGGTCTTCCTGCACAATCCTCTTTTTCAGCAGTAAAGTTTGTACTGGCACAGAAATATACCATCGTTAAAGCTACGTGAGGCAGAGGTACAGCCAGGAAAGCAGCAGTTAACAAAGACACTGATGCTTTTTTTAGCCTAGATTTCCAAGGGATTTGTTTTCTGTCCTCCAGGAAGAAGGTTTTGCAGCATCAGAAAAACGAAGAAACAAAAGAGCATCAGATAATAAATGTAAAGCGACTTGCGTGGGAGATGACAAACTTGATGTTACCGACCATGTCAGAGCTCGCTTGCAACAAAGCAGAGACAAACATGATCAACCAGAATTCAGTACATGTACAACTGATGGAGTTCAGGGGCGGAAATTTCAGGTAAGCTGCTTATGCTCTATCAGTGTTGTACTTATTAAGCAAATCAAGTTCTGATTTAGGTGCTGTCTCAGTAGACTATCTTTATGGATGACTATGTAGTTTTAATACCAAGAAACTCTTATTTCCACCCACATCAAACTTCAGCATCCTCACTCTTTACTCCAAGGTGTGATAATAACTTCCTGACTTTACAATTCTGGAGATGAACTACTATGAGCGCTAAAAGCCTGAACAGATGCACAGCAAGAGTCCAATAAACCTCCAATTTGTCTACAGTTCTCTGTAGTGAGTCAGAGGAATTCAGGAAAGCAATTTCTGTTAGTAGGAAGCCAGAAGGAATGCAGAAACAATACAAGTTGACAGCTGAAAGTATTTTTTTCATGATTACAGCAGAAGACGAAGTAGCCAGAGGGTATAAGACCTGCTACTGTAGAAACAAATAACAAAATGCTTAGAGATCCAGCATTCAAGTCACTGAAGTTTATGTTCTGATGAAAATTACTGACACCTTAATACATCAGCTACAAAAAGATGACAGATCTATATAGGTCACATCACTAATTCTAAACGTGGAATCTGATCCTTTAGGAAAGTAAAGCATCCAGGAAGTTTAGTTAGCAGGAATGCTCATGTTTAAAGCATGTGAACTTGGCCATAAGCTGCAGTTTGCAGGTGCTCAGCAGTACTTTTCCCCTGCAGGAAATAGTATAATTCAGGGTACCCCACCACCCTCAGAAAAGGCAGCTAACTGGAGTTGAGCCTGGTCTGCAAAGAAACAGGACCCTGAACATCAGACACATATTCAAGCACCTTTCTGAGCTGAGGTCCTAGGTAGTGAATTCCTTTTACATTTTATTTCTTTATTAGAACAGTAAAAGTACAGATAAGAGAATGGATTGTGAGCCAGCTGCTCTAAAATCAGTGCCATCCTACAGAAGCTGATGTACATCCATATTCGTACCACATGGATCATGCTTTCTGTGGTCCACAATGCTGAAGGTTCTGTCTGAGGATAATATAAAAGAACCAGTCATCACAAAGGCTTGATTATGTATTTTATTCCACTGATTGTATCTTTAATTGTTTAAAGCAGAAGAATCTGGAATTACAAAGTCACATAATTGGATTTAAGAGGCACACAATGTACAAATATTTATAAAATCAGTGTACAAAGTGGGTTGCATATAATTGCATTAAGTAGAAAACAAATATACAGACCATAAAAATGGAGTCCCAAAGAGGAGGCTGCTGTTAAAGTGCTAAGAAGAAAAGGTTATTTATAGTTCATTACACACGGTAAAAAGAGCCTTGTATTTTATTCCTGTGATGTCAAGAAACAACAAACATCACAGAACAAAAGTTACATCAACACTTTGTCCTGCGTTGACATCTACTACGAGGGTTTGTTGCGCCATGTCATCTGAGATCGCTGTGACAGAGTAGATGCCAGGAGAAACTTCGATGTACAAGTCTTTGGAAGCTTGTCTGGTCTTTAGGAGGAAAAAAAAAAACTTTCTTACTGGTTAGTCATCCTAGATTTTCCACAAAAATAAAAATTTTAAATTTGGTTAAAAAAATTACATTTCAGCTGCTATATAAATGTACTAAGATTTTTCAAAATCAGCATGGACAAAACTGTGAAGTGTTCCTGTCAGTACAAAAATTAACAAGTGCCATACTTGAAGCATTTAATGTAATGTTTTGATCTGTGGAAGTAATCACTGTGCCATAATCTATGTCTCACAAAACTGAAAGTTACCAACCTAGACAGTTTTGAACATAAACCTGGAAAACAGTCCATATGACAAGTGTGCTCCCACTAATTTGTACTGTGGGACAAATTTTGTGTTTCTTGTCTGTTGTGGCTTAGCAGTTCCTGAAATTGATTTGGTGAGGTGTTAGGCTCTTAAAAATAAAACCAGATTTCTTCTGCTTGAGAAATAGGAGTTTTCAGAGAGCCTGTGTGAGGGCCAAGAGTAAGTGGCTAAGGAACTGCTGTGTGCCTTGCTGCACACTTTTCCTCAAGGAACACAAGTGAGGTGAGACTGGAGAAGTGCTGCCTTACTGCTGCTGATGTAATTCACAAAAGTCTAGAGCTTTATCACTGTTTCATGTTCTGTACCAATCTAACTGGTACAGACTCTTCACTGGTTATGTGCCAGAATGCCACAATCTGGCTTCTAATTCACTGTGCAACTCTCTGTGTGCCCATTTTACTGCCTATATGTACATAAGGATTGGGAACGCACTACTTGTTAATCTTCTGCGTCGTCAAAGTCTCCACATCGGTCACAGTTTTTAACCAGCTTGATGCAAACTGATGATAAAGAAGTGCTATCAAATACCTCTATTTAAAAACAAAGTATTCTATAAACTTACACGTTGCTGGCAAGTTTGAGCTCGACTGGGTGCTCTGGAAGCTTCAGTCCTCTGGAAGAAAAAGATACTGTTTTCTAATGATACAACACCTTCAGCCCAAGTGAGGTGATGTGTTACGTGCAGGAAATTTTCCCCTCCATGAAAGGGCTGATATGACACTGGTTGGTGACACCAGAAGTTACTCTGTCTCCCCCTCCATCCCCCCAACAGAAGGCTATTATCCCATTGCAAAGGAAGGAATAACCTTAAATCAAAACTGAAAGTACCTACTTACCTCTTCTTCCACATCTCTTTCCTCTGCTTGCCTGCCATGGTATTTGCAGATGTGTTTAATTTCATGCTCTTTGCACCTCGGGGCTCCCACGAAGCTATAGTACTTCTGGACAAGAACAGAAACACAGGGTATTATATGGGGAGGCATCAAAGGCCATACTCACAGCTACTGCAGATTTACAGTTGGAAGTGGAACTGCACAGCGACTGACTTCCTGTATTAATTGGCTGGTTTGTTCTCTTGTGAGGATGAGAACAATGCCTGGATGTCCACAGGACACCTGCCTTATGGTACAAGACTGTCAGCCCTGATTTTAGAAGACTGTCTCCTGACACAATACGTAGGGAGGGACTCTAGCACCTCAGAACTGAACTCATGAAAATGTCAGAAGGAATGCTCTGGAAATACCTTCCTGATCAGGCTCTTCAAGAAAAGCTCTGGTGGAGGAAGGCACAGTTTATGGGTCCTTAATAGGACATATATGCAAGCTTGGTGCTTTGCAACCTAGCCAGTGAAGATTGGTTCTGCAGGGCACATGCAGGAGCAGCACTCTAAAAGCAGAACATGTCAATACTGAAAACTGAGTCAGTAAAGAACTTAAAGTGTCTTCAAGGCTGGTACCAGTAGCACAGCAGTTTTGAGATCTGTATTTAAGTTCACAGCAGCCCTCTTCTGGTTCAGCTGCAAAGGTACTGGAACCTTCCCCACTGCAAATTAAATATTAGAGTACAGCTCTGCTGCCATCTGTTGTCACCAAAGAACTCCTCCCAGGGTTAACTTTTTGATCACAGGGACCAAAAAGTTCCAAAATATCCATTTTATTTCACTTATGTTTTCCTTGACCTTCCCTGTCAGGACTAAACATAACAAAAATAAGGCCAGTTGTAATTCTTATTTCCAGATCTATTGCTGTGCTTTATTCCTCGAGCTTATGCACAAATCAACAGATCTGGTTGTTTGTACTGTGCTTTCTGTAGAGCTATGTCCCAAAATGCATCAAATGCTCTAGCGTATTGCACAATGCTTTGCAACACATCTCTGTGTCACAGGAGGTGAGCTGGATTCTTTTACATGATGGCACAGAGCAAAGAAATCAAACTTCTGGTGAGTAATGAGTGGGTAAACTTTGGTCCCTGAACAACTCGTCTTAAATTCCAGTTTTAATTGTTTGCATTTAAGTGCCCAAATGGTTATGTTCAGCTGGGGATTTTTATTTGTGCTTTCTAAACTTTATCCATGAACTTACGGGTCTGACAATTCCCCCCTTTTATGACTCTTCTTCTCTACAGAAATAACTGAAGCAGTACTGTCTTGGCTGATGCATAAGTGTGGAAAGCATTCACTGCTTTTCCAACTCTGTTGCTGTTAACAGGCCATAAAGATAGACCCATAGAATAATATAGATTGGAAAACACCCTTAAGATCATACAGTCCAACCATAAACTTAGCACTACCAAGTCCATTGCTGAGGATGAATCTCTATACACTTGTATTTTCGTTTCATCTTGCGTAAAACTCTATTCTGCCCGAGTTGTTTTCAGGATTAACTGGTTATGTGTGTGTAGTGCTTTCAAATGATAGAGGAGTTGGTTAAGATCTAATCATTTGGTGTGATGAACTACTGTTTTCTCTAATGTAATTGCAGACTTAGCCTGTGTTGTTGACTCTGCAGACAGCGAGCTCCCTGCTGCGTTATACCAGCTCCCGAGGGGCACAGCCGTGTGAACTGTGCTGGAGTTCACAGAGACTTCAGTGCAGCAGTTGGGCTGCAGGGCTTTGTTCACAAGGATGAGCTGGCAGAGGTTGGCTTCTGGTCCATCCACTCCATAGAGCAATGACACCTGGCAGCCAAAGCCAGCGTGAAAGCGGTGGAGCTATGCATCTGTAAGCCATACTCCTCCATTTCTACTCGTCACAAAGATATGGTGCTGCTCAGAACTGAGCCCAGATCCTCATCCAGTGGCAACATCCCAGATCGAGTTTGACCCGGTTTCATCTGGGAATGGAGTTAGTTTTCTTCCTAGTAGCTGGTACAGTGCTGTATTTTGGATTTAGTACAAGTATAATGTTGATAACTGATGTTTTGGTTGTCAAATGGTGCTTACCCTAAGTCAAGGACTTTTCAGTGTCTCATGCTCTGCCAGCAGGGAGGTGCACAAAAAGATGGGAGGGAGCATAGCCAGGACAGCTGACCCAAACTTGCCAAAAGGATATTCCATGCCATGGAATGTCATGCTCAGTATAAACTGGGAGAGTTGGCTGGGGGAGCTGACAGCTGTTAGGGGACTGGCTGGGCATTGGTGGTGAGAAACTGTATTGTGTATCCCATGTTCTTCTTGGGTTTTGTCTCTTTTTCATTACAATTATTATTGTTATTATAATTACTATTATTATATTTTACTTTGTTTCAATTATTAAACTGTTCTTCTCTCAACCCACGAGTTTTATTTTCTCCTGATTCTCCTCCCATCCCACCAGGGTAGGGGGGCAGGGAAGGGAATGAGCTGTTTGGTACTTAGTTGCTGACTGGGGTTAAATCACAATACCGGGGAGGTTAACTCTAAATTCAGAGCAAAATCATGACACAAAACAATCCCTTTGCTCTCGAGATTCAAACTCCCCTTTACTTCCACCACCCGGAACACACTGTCAGCCAGCATGAGTGGTTCACGTTGGCCTGATGGAAACAAAGTTACTATGTCACAAAGCCACTCCACATCAGAGATACTTTGGAGCACTGAAAACACTCCATACATTGTGACACAAAAACCTGCGCAGGGGCTGACACAATGTAATTCGTGATGTCACCTGACATTTCTGCCTCTCGCACTGTAATGCCTTTCCATCAAGAAATGGAGAAACCCTCAGCTAAAATCTGTACCGGGCTACTGGTGCTGTCTGTGGAAAATGGTGACAGTGGCGTGTTTATCAGCTCAGGTGTGATAACACCGGTGAAACCTGCCGTGTACCACATCATGGTGAATGCCGCAAATGTCTTCATCTAGGCCGGCATCAGAGGCTCACTGGCCGAACTCTTTCCATGCAATGAGCAAAACTGAGGTCTAATTTTTTTTTCAGAAAAAGTGGTGCCTGCCGGGCGCATCATGAACATTCCCCTTCGCACGGGTCCGGGGGCGAAACCTCACCTCGCATTCCCTCGAGACTTTACCCATCAGCTTCACGATCGAATCGAAGGCTGCACTGAGGCGCTCGGATTCTTCCTCCTGCAATTAAAGACATTCTCTGTAACCCAGCGCGGTGCTCGTTGCTTAGAGGCACAGAGGGATCAAACAGCAAACACTCCGTGCTGTCCCTGGGGTGGCACGGCCCCGGGGGCCCAGCGCTGTCCCGCCGGCTCCAAAAGAAGATTAAACGCGGGGAGGGGAGGGGTTAGGAAGTGACCAAGGGTATTTAGGAGGCTCGTTAGGGCTCGCAGGTATGCAGCCCCACAGCCGTGTGTGCGGAGAGGGTCGCGGGTGTCACTGACCGGTCCCGGTCCCGGTCCCGGTGTCCCCGCGCGCCGCCGCGCGCGCTCCAGCACATCGCGCGCCAGCCCGGCCGTGCGCCCCGCGCGCGCCACCTCCATCGCGCCGCCGCGCGCGCCGCCACCGCCTCCTGCGCACGCGCACACTCGCTCCGCCCTGCGGGACACCCCACCCCGCCGCCGATAGGGGGCGCTGCAGCCCCGCCCCGCCCCGCCCCGCCCCGCCCCGCCCCGCCCCGGCCGCGAGCGCCGGGAAAGATCCAAGATCCTGCGGGACGCGGTGCCGGGCAGCCTCGGTGTGGGGAGCCCCGCCTCGGCATCCACCCCGCGGTCCCTGCGGTGCAGTGCGGGGCTGCCCGCCTGTCTGGGTTTTTTGTTTTAGACCTGCGAGGTACAGGATGGCGATGGCGGAGACGGCGATGGCCGGCTGGGCGAGGGGGGTGCGGGTGAGAGGGCACGGCACCTGCGTCCGCTCCCCGAGGGAAAACCCGCTCACCTGCGTCGGTGACAGAAACCGCGCGGCGTTTTGGCTCCCTGCGAGCAGGGTTTGCCGAACCAGCCGCCCGTCCGCTCCCTGGCAGCCGGGTCTGCCCCAGGAGGGTTCTCCAGGGAGGCCGCGGTCACCGCTTGGAGTCGCCAGATGAGCTTGGGAAGCGGCTCCGTGTGAGTCAGAGCCACCGCGAGGCCTCGCTAACCCCGTGTGCCCTGAGGTGATGATGGGAAAGGCAAAATAAGCCCAGAAACTTTCTTTAAGTGCCATATGACCAAAGTTAACATGCAGGCCCCGATTCTGCAAGTCTTCCATTCTCGTTGAGAGCTTTGCTAGCTGTAATCTCTTTGGCAAACTGGAAGAATAATCCCCTCCTAGTTCACCTTTAATTGTCATCTTCCAGTTGCTTAACCAAGAGCAGCAGCCAGGCCCTGTAATAAACAAGCCCTTTGCAGGTTGCTTGTTCATTAAAACACATTCAAACCCCAGCTCAGTGTTCAGATGTAGCTTAAGTTTGGTCTCCTGTACTCACAAGAAAGTTTAGGCAGTTGCTGGAGTACTTAAGGTAGGGGGAACTGAATGAAACATAAACAGAGGAGAAAAATAGTATTTGGTAAAAGCAACGTTAGCATGCTTGATGGGCTGGAGAAGCAGCCAGAATAGACTGCTTCCTCATTAATTGGAAGCTGAACACCTTTCTTGTTAGCAATGGTCTCCTGGAAAGGCAGGTGGGTTTGCTGTCTGGCTGCACTTGTGAAATATACTTGGAAAGGCCCTCCTATGTCCTTTTCGTAACAGGGAGAGAACCATTAATTTGCTACTCCTGCCAGGTACTTGTAGCTTGTTCAGTAGCTTGTTCAGAAGGTAAATTATTCCCTGTGTGTTGAAATTTAAACTCCCACCATTTTTTGATGTTCGATGACTCCTTTTGCAGCTGAGTAAATACATCTGTTCCAAGAAAGGCTGACAGCTGAAATAGCTTTTGCTTTGAAACACACATTTACATCAGAATCCAGATGAGAGCTACCCTTATTTCCTGTACATTCACTCTTTTGAAATATAATGGAGGCTTGTGAAATGCTGGGCATTGACACCAGATTCCTTGTTGTGTGGGATGACGGATCAGAATATCTCAAGACAATATATTTTATTTTGCTGATGAGGTGTCAAAACAAAAAACAGTTTATCCTGAGCACTTGGTTCTGTATTCAGAGAAGTATCCTTGTGTAGAAAACCTCAAAAGCATACACCTAACATGGAAAACCATTTTGCTTCCATTTCAGTCACTGGAAAGAAAGTCAGCAAGTGCTTAAAGTTCAAGAAATGTGTAGTGCTGGAATTTGTACTTCCTGTTGCAGAATACGTGTCATTCCTTTTTTTTTTTTTTTTTTCCTTCTGTGCCTAGTATCAGTTGGTTAACATATTGTGAAGTGACTTGTTTTATAAATGTCTACATTATACTTCAAGATCTAGGAGCGGTCTTAGTATTTCACAATACGGCCCTGCTAACAGCCAGTATCCTGCCTCTTCAGTATATTTTTTTATATCAGTCAGTTTTACATATTTTATGTATCAAACCTGCACAATTTGTATTTTGTGCAGGTTTCTCATCTGCCAAACGGGTGCCAGGGAGGTGGCCCGCGCAATGCTGTTGGTGGCCTGCGAGAAGTATGTGCCTTATTGCTTGTACCACTCACAGACCTTCTTCACCCCCTGGTACGTGCAATGCCCTGTGTCCTGGTGTGCCAACGGGACACCGCGGGCTGCGCTCCCGAAGGAGCAGAGCATTCCACATTGCTGCCAGGAGCTGCTCCCAGCAGGCTGGATCTGAACCGAGGTACCCGGAATGAAGTCTTGAGGCAAGCCGCTGCCTCCCTCTTCCCCCCTCGTTCTCCACAGGTGCTGTCGCTGCGAGCTACCCCGCGGAGCTCGGGAAAGGCCCCGGGAGCTCTCCCGCTCCCAGCGCCCTGATGGGATCCATCTGCCCCGCGCCTGGCGCAGGAAGCGCCTCCCGCTCTCGTCCTTCCTTCCGTTCTGCCCCGCGAGCGGCTCCGCGCCGAGAGGAGCGCAGCGCTTGGAGTGTTTTAAATAAAAATTAGCGGTGTCGCCCCTCCAGGCTAAAGGGAGGAGGAAGGCTGTCGGGCGGGGGGCTCAGTCCTCCCCTCCTCCGCCCATCGCGTCTCCTCGCGGACCGGCCGGGTCCCGCCGTGCTGCTCCCCTTCCTCCTTCCCGCCTGGCCGGGACCCGGGTTTGGGGCCTGGGGGGTGGGCGCCCACCCCTCCGCGGGGCCGGGATCGGGCCGGGACCGAGCGCTGCCGGCGGGAGCGGCGCCTGGTGCGCCCGGGGCAGCCCGGGCTGGGCTGCGCTGCGCTGTGGGAGCAGGTTTCTTTGTTGGCTGCCGGGTGACTGGTTCCCATTAATCTCCCGCACTGGCCGTGGCCGTCTCCACTTCCTGCCTTTGCATACTTCTCTCCCTCGATCTCAGTCCCTTCCCTCCCCCTTCCCTCCCCCCCTTTCTTTCCCTCTTCCCAGCTTCTCCAAAAAAGCTACAATCGCCAGGGCTGCGGGACGGGGGCTGGAGGCGGCCGGCGGAGGGAGCGCATCCCTGCGCGCCTCGGTAAGGGCCGGGGAGCCGCGCTGCCGGACGGTGGTCGCTTCAGGAGGGTGGGGGGATGGACCGGGGCAGGGAAGCGGGAGTGGGGGAGAAGCGATCGGTTGTGGTCCTGGTCGTCGCCCCTGCACGCCGAGAGCCGCCCGCCTCCCGCCAGCGGGGCGGGCCGGGGATGCGCGGCGGCGGCGGCGGTGGCGGGGGCAGGAGCTCTCCGGGAACCGAGGGTCCCCTGGACCGCCCCGGGGCAACGGAGCCGCCGGAGGCTGTGCCGGTGCGGGCTGGCCCCGCTCTCCTTGCGGGACCCTGCCCTGCCCGGGGGGAGCGCAGACGGGCGCGGGGTCTGTGCTCCCGCGCTGAGGAGCGCCGAGCTACCGCCGTGCCCGCGGGACGCTGGTTTTTGCGTGGGTGGCGTGGGCAGGGGCACCGCGGAGGGGCAGAGCCCGGGATACCACCTCGGCGGGACCGGGGTAACTCCAACCCGCCTGGGGAGCCGGCGCGCCGAGCGCGGGGCTCTGCTCTGGGGAGAGGTGGGGAGCTGCGGCACAGCTTTTGCCTTCCAATGCCTGCTCGCATCGTCTGTCCAGCCGGCTGCACTGTCTGCGTGCGTGTTGGAAAGAGTAGAGGAGCCACCTGGACTCCGGCGGAAGACTTTAGGATCCCAAGACGGACTTGGCCGAAGAGCTAAGGGAGCTGCTTCAGCAGTTCACTTGGTGGGAAAATCAGATGTACTGCTCTTGGCTTGGTACCAAACGTTTGCATTACTAAGGTCACTGCAATCAAAGAGTAGTGGCTACACATGAGAGAGCCTTCTCGTGTTTACTTCGGTTTTATCTCTCAAATGGACCTTGAATTTAGTAGTCAAGATAAATGAAACCGGATGCATAGTATTATTGCATGGAGTATGTTAGTAGTAGTGTTTTCTACAACCTTATTCTATTGTTGTACTGAATTTGGGGAATAGGTTTTCTTTCATTTTTATGCTGAGTTTAACTTCAGCTATATATTGAATAATCCAATAAAAACCATCTAGAGTGATCCAAACCTGTGGAAGATGAAGGGTGAAACCATTAGTTGTAGTCTGATTTTTGATGATAAGATGAATTGAAGTGAGGCTGATTTGCCTTTAAGATTTGATAATGTTTTGTTTATACATGATTAATTTATAGTTGGTAGATGAAAGTATTCCATGTAGTGGAAGGGTAAGTTAACAGAACAAAGGTAGGAGTATCATATAAGGTGAGATTTGAGAAAGTCATGTGGGTTTTAGGAACATCAAAATTTAACTTTCATTATGGTGATCAGGTTATGCAGGTGACATAGTAGAAATCTGTAACCAGGTTGACAGTAAGATTTAGGGGTTTGATCATTCATTTCCATCTTTCTGTAAGATTAGTAATTTAAAGGAAAACAACACATTTGAGCAATTGTGATGACTTCAACAAGTTACCTAAGAGTATAGTCAAGCACCTTTTAAAGTTAGCTACAGTCTAAGAGCAACTGCTAAGAGTGATTAGACTGACATGACGTCTCTCTTCTGGGGTGGAAGCAGTTTCCTCTGAGATCATAGAGTGAGAAGAGGGACTTTTTAGGAAGAGGTGATAGGGATGGTGGTGCTGGGCCTCACTGGGACATGGAGACTATCCTGTTCCTAAAAGTCTATCGCATGTGTTCTCCTCTCCTATGCAAGAAATAGGAGAGCCCTGCCTAGCTTGGCTTTTTGCTACTCCCTTCAGGGTGCTAAACTCCCTCAGCCAGCTTGCACAGTGCAGTCACTGCCCTTCCTGGCTCAGGGGTGGAGGAGTGTTGCCTTCTGTCCTCTCCTACCCCTGCAGCATGTCTGTGCTGTGGCTGCCAGAACGTGCTCCAAGGAGCTCAGGACCAAGCATTGCTCCCTCCCTTTAAGCAAGTGGCTTAACATATACTGGAGCTCTTTAAGGAGCGTGTGACCCCTTATTATTGGTGACCCTGTAAACCATTGTGTAATCTGTTGACTGTAACATA